TTGCCAGCAATATTGTAAACTTTTTTTTTTGTTGTATCTAAATCTTATCAGTCAGGCACTGGTTACAGCTTACATTCATGGTGTAGAATAAATATGAAACATTGTAAAATACATTTAAAAATAGAACTAAATCCGCATTTTGCCGGAAAAACTAGTGGGCGGGAGCACTTAAAATAATTCGATGAAGTTTAACAAAAAAGTTCTAATGCTTACGTCTTCATTTCATTTGCCCTTCGGATCCCAAACTAAGGCTATTATTAGGTTTGCTTATGTTATGTGAGTAGATTTCTTATCAATTGAATTTGCACTTTAGATTTGATTTGATTACGTACAAGTATTTGCTTCGACCATCGTGGACGTATTGGGTTTATTTACTTTTTATAGTTCTCGTTCTCGTATTGATTTTAATAATTAAATGATAACTCGCCGGTTGCTTAATCTCTTTATTCTATACCAGTTTCGTTCTTATTAGATTTTATTGACAGTGTAAACACAAGTTTTTTCCTTATCATTTCGTATCGAACAAAATAATTATGTTTACTTGCTGCTTTATTAAAGTCCCAAGTAAACCTACTAATTGGTTTATTTTAAACATTAAATATTTATTTTCGGCTAAACAGCGGCACATCTTCACATAAATACCTTCGGCTACCATATTTTCAACGACATGTTTTGGAAGTAATTTTAATGTACATATGATTGGATAATTAAATTCACATTTCTATAGATATATAATTAGGCTTAATTTTACTAATTAAATTTAAAAATAAAATAATCACCACTTATAAATCTTTTCCGGTCTAATAGCAGAACAAAGAGTCTTAGATAATTGATTGAAATGGAAAATGCTTACATTTGTGTGTGTGTGTTATATACGAGTATATATCGTATTGCCAAGTCTGTTGAGGAAAGCATAGTGCTTTTTTTATTGTTTTATAGGGATAGATCAATAAAGTATTAAATTATGTTATTAATTTTATGTATGAACAATATGCATATCCACTATTGTAGAGTGGGTACATCCTGTATTTTGAGTTATAACCCAATTTCCCTAATGTACGCCCTTGCTTTCTGGCTTAGATAAATCTAGCTCGCTAGGTACTATAACCCAATTTCCCTAATGTACGCCCTTGCTTTCTGGCTTAGATAAATCTAGCTCGCTAGGTACTAAGTCTATTTTTTCTCCTCTCTCCTCTGATTACTGGAATGAAGTTTTCACAATGCTGTGGAAATCTTCTCCATTCATTCTTAAGAGGTGGTTTAGTGAGTTCAAGTCTCACACGGTGGTTTTCGATGCTTCCACCTACTGTCAGAAAAACAAAAAAAAAATTAAAATTCAGATCTTCTTATAGCATGTAAAAAGAATACATCTCAAATATTGGAAATCTTTTCAATAATTACCATGATCACTAGAAAGAGCTATTAATATGAAATACAAAGTAATGATTTTCGGCCCCATGGCTCAGTTGATATAGTAGAAAGAAAGAAATATACTGTACTTCTCGGAACACTAACGAGGCACTGTACTATTGCACTAATGCTTCAACGTTGGAGCATTCCAATAAGGTGATTATACACAACTTGCCATTATAGATAGGAAGTAGAATGTAACAAAAAATTTTTATGTCTCTACCTGGGAGTACTGACGAATCTGGAAAACCATGAGGAGTATCAAAAATAAAACGTGAATTCACATTGAAAATAAGGGCGTCACAAATGATAATATTTGTCTCCGAATGTATGTGCCTTTTAAACCTTACTTGAACTGACTAAAAGGACATATTAAAAATCATTTTAATAATAAAAATATATAATAATTTACAGAGTTGTATTTTAAGACATTATTTATAAAATTTAATAAACACTTTTTATTGTGAAGCTTCTCTTCGAGGCAAAACTTTTCGCTCAGTAAACCTAGGAACTTACAAAAAGTATAAATTTATAAGGCTATTTAAACAAAAGTAATATAGAACTATTTCTGATCAATTTAATAAATAAAAAAATTATTTTTAAATCAAAATATGTGTAACTTAAAAATTTATCTTAAATTGTTAACATAAGTATACAATTGTTAAATATTTCACTTATTATACAAGTTTTTTTGTAAGAAGTTTGTCATTTGTTAACGGTAGCAATTAGCTTTCATCGTGAATATAATTAATTTATTATCACTTCAAGTACATTCGATTTGTATATAAATATAAGTATAAAAATATGTATTATCAGTAGACCATGTGTTTATTATTGAAAATTAAATACTGATATAAAAATAAAAATACCGACAGATATAAATAAGATCAAGGGAGTATGTTTATTATTCAAGAAAGAGAGACATTTTTACCTCCCTAAATATATCCCAAATCTCTTATTCCTGGATATATTTCTGTATTTTATACACACATGATCTTGACACGCAATGAACTCCAATTGAAAATAATGTATCATTAAAATATATTTAAATCAAACCTACAGAATCATTTAATAAATCCAAGTTATTAAACAAAATAAATAGTGTCAGAGCAGTCCTAATTATATCTCTCAGATTTGATCGTTTCGGTAATAATTGTTTAAACTTGAAAAAAATCATAAAAACTTGAAAACTATTACTTCTCACACGAATCACGATTTTATAATTGCAACGAAATTTCTCATATATTTCAAAAGTTATCCAAAATTTCGCGAAACTCCATTGGACTATAGCTCTAATATATTTCGATATTTAGAAATAATATACACTACAAGTGAATAATGTCTACATATAATATTATTATTATTAAATAAAAAGCTATGAATGCACCCCGACCTAAAAGATCAATTGTGCGACTAAAAGCCACTAAAATCCCGCTTCCAAGGTAGTCAAGTCTAAGTCTTGCCGCCGCTGGGCAATTGCATAGAATATGTTCTGATGTTTCCTTCTCCTCATGACAAAGTCGGCAAGAATCACTTTCTACCGCACCTTGTGATAATTCTTCATAAAGTAATTGAGTCTACAGTGTCCTGTAAGAAGTTCAGTGTAGATTTTAATCTCGTTTCTGCTAAGGTAAAGGATAGCGTCAACTTTGATGTGTTCAGGGTCAAATCACCTTCTACCTCACCTTGTGATAATTCTTTATAAGGTAATTGAGTCTACAGTGTCCTATAAAATGTTCAGTGTAGATTTTAATATCGTTTGTGCTAAGGTAAAGGATAACGTTAACTTTGATGTGTTCAGGATCAATAAATCTTGTTGATTGTCGCATGTCTATTTGTGCTCTTCAGTGTTTAAGTAGATTTTGTTTTTCCCATTCAAATAATAAATTATTTGTAAAGCTATATCTTACCCCGCAGACGGGCTCTGAACCAATGAAAGGAGTACATGTACCTCTACATCTATTAACCTTATTACATCTTTAAACCTTCTGTTTAGTGGCTTTTAGTATATTTTATATACTCGTAGTTATCGTATCTTTTAGGTTTATTAAATCATTGCTATTGGTAATTGTCGCAATTAATTCTCTCAATAATTCTCTCTATATCTTAGTTTAAAATTGAACATAGTAAGATTTAAAGATCATAGTCCACATACTTAGAAATAAATTTAACTAAATTAGATTAGTTTATTCAATGTGTATTTAGATCCACATAGGTCTGGTAATTTAATTTAAAAACACGCAAGTAATTCTAGTGTAAGGATATTTATTTAAAAATGAATGACATGAATTGAATATTTGACAAAAGCATAGAAACGAGTTTTAAAATTGGTTAAAACCAAGCTTACTTAATATCTGATAAAAAAACTAGAAGATTACAAAGATATTCACTTTGTTTTATCTGAAATGTGGACCTACTTTGATATTTGTACAAGGACCGCATTATTTACGAATTTAAAGAAAAGGTTAAAGGACTATAAACATTAATTCTGTGAAGCAACATCTAGGTTCAGTAAAGTTCAGTTTATGTATGGCATATATTCCCTTATTCATTTTTAAAACATTTAGTTTCTTTCTTTTAATTTTCGATCAGTATTTAAACGTTAGTCTTTCTTTGTCCTATATTGATACGTCCATTTCCTTTAAAATGAAATAATTATTTTATATACCATGTGTTTATTAAGATTCTAAATCAATGTATTTCGGACTAGGTTTACGAAGTTCGAGTTAAGAACTACTGAATCAGTTTATAGATACTATTGTTATATTTTTGTTAGAAAAATTAAATCAAATTTATTAAGAAGAAGTTTCTTATATAATTTAACATATTTATTAAATAAAAATGCTGCATTAACTACAAATTGATCAAATATATCTTTCTGTGCTAATGTACCGCTAATGGAGTTATACAAAGCAAGAAAACTGGTGAGGTGCCTTTAAGGTCTGTACTTCAGAAACTTATATAGCATGTGATATATGAAAGAGAAAGAACTAGATAAAGCCTAGGACAGGACAGTTCTCCTTTGATATTCTTAAATCGAAAGCGGATGGAAAGATATCAGTAGATTAAGCAGTATATTGCAAATTATTTTATAAGAACACATAAAAGTGTCGCTGATGCCATAATACACGGAATAATGTAAGTTATTGTTGAAATATTGACCATTCTATACCTGTGAAAGTAAAAAAAATTCTCTCACAACTTGGTAAACATTAATTGAATACAATTACTTATTAGAAGTCTTTGTCTTAAAACATATATGTTTGAATTCAACCACAAGAGAAACCCATTCTGTGATCATTGTGAGTAATGCTCCTACAAAGAGTAAACACAGAATACTGTCCAAAACATTTATTTCTTCACTGCGGTCAAGTTATAGAGCCGCTCCTGTACACGTGCAATAATTTCAAGCTTAAGCATTTAAAATAGAACCTGTACAATTATTTCAAACAATTTGATAATATACCATTATATATAACATTTCTTTTATTATTTAATGCATTTATTGTAAAATAAATACGATTATATCAATTTTATTTATTTCATACTCCCTATGCAAATATTTTTTGATTTACCTTAAGATGGCGCTACAATGTATTGTTGACAGCTGACTTGTTTGACAAATGGAATTCCGAACACTTTAACATCATCGACTTTGAAAAGTGCGCGAATCTGCGACGTTCGAACAAATTTAACAATATTTACATTTCTTCCATATTATAAAAAAAAATTTGTATAATTTTAAAATAAATTTTGTTGTAAATATCAGCATGGATAACACGTCAAGAGAGGATGTTGCTTCATTTCAATTTCGAACAGCTCATGAAGTACTAAGTATTCAATTGGCGAAGGTAATAGATAAATTAATAAATATTGAAATTTGTATTATTTAACATATTATTTCAATTTAGCAAAATAAAAAACCGGCATATGGAGGTATAAACTATGGAGCACAAAGAAAAACTCACCGAACCACTATGTCTAAATTTGTCTTGCCTGTGAAACAAAAGCCGTAAGTCGTTTCCAGATGTTTTAGAAATAACATTTTTATTATAATATATTTCTTTAGTTCCGATAATGAGCGCTATGGACCTAAAACGGTACCACCTTCTCGTAACAATGATCAGCCTAAGGTTGAAATACATGAACGATTAGTCAACGTAGAACCTCAGATGGTGACGCTGATCGAAAACGAAATAATGAATAAGCACGAGCATGTGGGTAAGCCTCGAATAATAAATCATACAAAATGTACAGATTATAAAACTTGTGATTTTTTGATTTAATAGGATGGGATAATGTGTGTGGTTTAGATTATGCAAAATCTATTATAAGAGAATCAATAATAAATCCAATGCTGCGTCCTGATTTGTTTACTGGTATACGTAGTCCGCCACGTGGTATTTTATTATTTGGTCCGCCAGGCACCGGCAAAACACTGATTGGAAAATGTATTGCATCGAATGCAAATGCTACGTTCTTCAATATCAGTGCATCCTCACTGACTTCAAGGTATGTGGGCGATGGTGAAAAAATGGTGCGTGCATTATTTGCAGTAGCTGCCGTGCATCAACCTTCGGTAAGATCCCATATTTATCTGTGACAGATTAAGGAAAATAAACTTTTAATTGAATTTGTTAGGTGATATTTGTTGATGAGATCGATTCATTACTTTGCCAGCGTACTGATAGTGAACATGAAAGTGCCCGTAGAATAAAAGTAAGTTTATGCCTTAAATTTTATGTTTTAATTCATTCACCAATTCAACTAAAAATTTTAGAAATTATTATATTCTTAAATAAATATTAAGGTTATACGAAGTATATAACGATGCTATTTCAGCAATAAAGACGATTTTTCAATTGTGATAATTTTATAGTGGAATATAAAGGATTTCACAAATTTTACATGAAATATAAATATAATAACTTATGTTTAGTTTCTTAGTTTCAGAAATTATTAATTTAATGTTATGTACAAAAAAATTTGATACCCTTTAACCCAGTAGTCTAGCAATTGATATTAAGTACTCAAAATTACATATCGGATAAGACTTGCCAGACTATCCTTTAGAACAATGCTTCTGATTGATGCTAATCTGCAAACAATTACAAAATATAATACCATAAAATGCCGAAAAGGTTCAGTATAACAAAACTAAATATTCTCTAAATGTTAAATTAACTAAATTATTTCCTTATACCATATATTATTGCTTTTATTTATTTATTTTTTATATAAAAATTATATATTTTTATATTTTTCGTTAGACTGAATTTCTAATACAATTCGATGGTGTGCGCACAAAGGAAGATGATCGTATTTTTGTAATTGGCGCAACAAATAGACCACAGGATTTAGATCACGCTATGCGTCGACGCCTGGTTCGACGTCTCTACATACCGTTGCCAGAATTAGCAGGGCGTATAAATCTTATTTCCAATTTGTTCAAACCCATTGAAAACGATTTAAACGCTAATGACCTGCTGGAAATTGGTAAATTAACAGAAGGTTATTCTGGAGCTGATTTAAACAGTTTAAGTCAAGAGGCAGCAATGGGTCCAATTCGAGCTATACCATTTGATCAATTTGCTACCGTCGGAAAAGATATGGTAAAGAACAACAAACAAAATTTGTATCAACATATAAATTTTTAAATTAATTTATTAAAAGGTTCGACCCGTTAATATTGATGATTTTAAAGCGGCCTTAGATCATGTGCGACCCAGTGTTACCGAGGAAGATATAACAAGTTTTGTCGAATGGAATAAATTATATGGTGCAAAATAGTATATGTTTTTTCATATTTTAACTAATATATAAGTTATTTTCGTTTAAGATATTATATAGTGAAATTGTATGTCGTTATAATTTGTGACAAAGACAATGCCCTCCAAACATGAGGGTTTTATAGCGTTAATAATTGTGTCAAAGATTACATATGTATGATACATCGACAGTATTTTTAAGTATTGATTATTTTTTATATTTGATTAGTAAGCATCTTATATCATTTATAAATTATTTTTATATATGTACTTTTAAAACATAAATAATACAAGAAAAACAATTTAAGATTTAACTAATATTTCGTGTTGTTCGAATTTTAAAATATATTAAATTTTTTTTGGTTAATAATGCATTAAAATCAAATGTAAATCAGAAAAATGTATTTAGAATATAATACATGATAAAATTGAAAAAATTTATTTAATTAGAAAATAACTTTGGTCTTTTTCATATTCTAACTTATATCCATCATCAGAGATTTTTATTTTTGGTTTAATTGTGCGAGAATTTTTTCACTTGATAACTTTTATATGATGGTATATATATGACATTATTATTATTCATAATAATATTTCTAACACATTTATAATTATTAATATAATTAAACAAAATTTAAATAAAACATGTGTAGAAGTACATTTTTATACCATAAAAAAATCGCTTGTATTTAATTAAAAATAAAAAAACATAATATTCTTCCGTAATAACGAGTAGTAGTAATGTAGTTAAGGTAATGATATAATTTAAAATACATGATGAAACATACTTTAATAGTTAAATACTAAATTAATAGTACCCACTACATTTCTGAAATAAAAATAGTAATATTTAATAGTTATAACTTTATTAAAACGATTTTTGAGAAAAAAAATGTTATGAAAAATGGTTATATATACATATGTTTAACTAATAAATAATTTATAAAATATAATAATAACGGGTTACCCATTTCGTGATCTTAATTTAGCAGTATGGCTTTAATGACATGTCAAATTGAATTGTCATCCAAGGCACCATAAGGTAAGTTTAAAGTTTACCAATTTAGATGCAATTAATATAGATCTCCTAACAATTTTCTTTAGCTCTTGTTTTTGATTGGTGGATATGTCAACAAATAACATTCACCGCGTCAATAAAAAGTTACTGTATAGTCACATGATAATCAATTGAAGTGGAAGAATATGGATATGGAATATATGTGGTTTTAACAAGATGGAGCCACAAGCAACAAAACACGTCCTGTTGTTGTTATGTTACAAATAACAAAATTCTTGATTGAATCCCTTTTGTAGGATTACGCAAAGTATAGTGATTATGCAGACAATTCCTAAACTTTGGACGGAAACAAATATCTGTTAAATTACGATCGAGATATTTCCAGCTACGTAGCGCAAAGTCTTCGAAAACTAATACAAAACACACCTAGTAGCAAGGTCTAAACAATATAATATTTTTGGTTTATTTACGTTTCGCTACCACAACTTGGATAACCTTGCAAAAGAAGGTTCATAATGAAATTAGAATCGCTTTATAATTTTCTGAACTTTTTTATATAAAAAAATAAATGCATATATAACTTGGTTAAACCAAGTTTCATTATATAACGATTTAGAAAAATTTTTGAGAAACTAATTTGAGTATTGGATATGCTTATGAACTCTAAATTAAACATATTATACTAATACTTTAAGTTCAATATAATTATTATAACATACAGTGACGAACGAAATTATTCGCACAGCAAGCAAATTGAACTTTAGCACTATTTTTATGCTGTTAATGATGCGATTTTTAATAAACAAAAAATTTTATTTTGACAAAATGCTTAATTTGCTTTTAAATTCATTTTATTTTCTCTTATATTTAATTTTTTAAAATTAAAAAACCAAAAAAAAAATTAAATCTGGCTGAACAAAATAATTCGCACAGCTAACGCAAAAATTAAAAAACAAATTAAAAAAAATTATTTTCAATAACAATAAATAATTAGTGACTAAGCTCTTCTATTTAGTAACAGCTACTATTTCCTTAGGAATCGAAGAAATTAATTTTTGTGTGATTTTTGGACCAACATCTTGCCCCTCTTCAGCATTGCCACCTTCAGTTCTGTCTTTGTTGTTATAATGGGCTTCTTTGGACGTCTATGCAATTCTTCGTACAAATGTTCAATGGGGTTGAGATCTGGAGATTGAGGTGGATGCGGCAATGTGTGTTTTACATAATGAGCGAGCCACATACGCACATCAATAGCCGTATGTTTTGGGTCATTATAATGTTGGAAGCTAAATGTGGCAGGTAAACTCAAATTTTTTGTGCTCTTAAATCATATTTTAATTTTGATATGTAGTTTTATTTTCTTAATCCCAATGAAATTTTATTTTTATAAATCGCTCCCACGCGCTTCTTTCTGTTATCTGTTTAGGCAGGTGTTCGAATAGCTCTAGCCTATGTTTACTAAACTCAAGATAATTATTTACAAAAACTTCAAAATTTACTGTTTGTTTTTGAGCCGATTTATTCTGTAACTTGTGACATTTTTTACAATATAATACCTCAAACAGAAAATACGTTCAAAATAAAGTATACATTTTATTTAATATTCAAATTGAAATTGTTCACTTTTTAAGTTTTTATTTAATGTTTTTTGATTTTTTTTTTCACATTATTTTTTGGTGCATTACTACTTTTATTTAAATAATGTGTGTTATTTATTAATTTTGAAAATAAAAATTATTAAATAATTTTCTGAGGAATGATTAAATATATTTTATTTATTTATTTTGTTTGTTTTTGTTAAATATTTATATAATTATCTTTAAAGTATAAGTCAGTTTTTTTAATGGCCACAATATTAAGATAGTTTTTATTTCATTTATACTTTTATTTAAAATAAAATAGTAAATAAAGGGTTTTAAGCATAAATTATAAAAAAAATTACACATACAATATATCACTAGAAAGTAAATAAATATACACAATAAATACATATAAGTGTGATCTCTTGGAAATGTCTACAATGTCTCATTTTAAAGCTTTTTTCTTAACGTGTATAGAATATTTAATTGCAACAGTTATGTTAAACTTGTATCAACTTTCGAAATAGCTCCTCCTTCTTAATTTCAATTGAAATAGTTCAATTTTTAAACGAATAGTTTTTGTATATAATTTTTAAATATTGTTAATATATGTACATTTACACATATATTTGTGTTAATAAATTAAATATAATGTTTCAGTTTTTAACATGACTCATAAAGATTTGTTACAATTCTTATTTAAGCTTTCTATTAGAATAATTTAAAATTTACAATTTTTTATGTTTTGATATCTTAAATTTAAACAACAACAATTATGAAATATAATTTCTTAAAATTTCGGCAAATTGACAACATATATTTTAGACAAAGCGAATTTAAAGTGTTTGAAACTTAATACTAAATTTTAGCTCAATTTCAATTTAGCTCTAAAAGCTAAATAGAGCTCTTGGAACGGCTCTGACAACAACCAACTAACAACGATAAAACGATAATTTAATCTTTTGTAGTTAGTAAAATTCAAATATTGCAGTTTAGTGTTCCATATTTCTGTAGCTAATCTTATATTGCTTTTCGGCACGCAAATTTGCATATTTTTCTACAACGGCAGATATTTTTGCTGTAGTTTAGCAGAAATTTAAATTGAACATTATGGTATAAACAAATTTTATCATCTGATAATTTAAAACTGATTGCATTAAATTGAATATCAGGAGTTAATAGCATAATTTCAATAGTTTATAGGGAAATGGTTTATGTTTATTTATATTCTAAAGTGAAATAAATAATATTCTGTCTGGCTTTAAAGCAATTGAAACTTATAGGCTTTTCAGTTTATTAAACAGTATCAATAAATGTCATTGTTACTGACTTAAGGGTTTGTAATTTTATTATTTTAAAAATATAGTATTCAAAAGAAACTATAAAAAAAATATACATTTTGTTGTTTTAACAATAATCACAAAAGGTGCAGATATTCCCAAAGTACTATACAAATAAATGTAAAATAACAAATATATTAAATAATATAATATAAAAACCTACAAAAATGCATACATTTACATAAAAAATATACAATAATACATTCGATACATTCGATAAAAGCAACTACTAAATAATTTAGACATAACAAATTTTTACAATGGAATATTGAACCTAAGTACAAATACATTATATACTTATATACTTATAAAATAAATGTGCATGAAAATATATTATAATGAAATAATGAAAAATTACATATTAGTAATTTACTATTATTAAATGTATGTTAATAATAATTAACTGTCTATAATTTTGACATCGCTTGTTCTATATCTCAGCTTTTGATGTGTGTATAACAAATTGAATACAAATTAAAAATGTTGTTGATCGCATAGTTTCTTATACTTATAAATCTAAGCTGTTGTGTGGATTTGAGAGCATTTGAGAGTAAAGAGGCGTGTGTTCTATTACTTATGCAACTTATGCAAATAAATATCAGCAAATATAGAAAAAAAATCATTTTTAAAATATACAATTTAAATTCGAATTATGGCTAATGTAAGTTTAGTCGTTAGTCACCGCTATCCTCCCACTTACGCTCTTCCATTATTCGATCGAAACAATCAGCGAGATAAGCATGCTAAAAAATATTTCAAAATAATTATTTGAAATTGTATAACAAAAAAAAAAAATTGTATACATACGAATGGTGTGTAGACTTTCACCCAACGAGCCGGTTTATCTGAACGATTATATTGAAAACAAAATGACATTGATTCTTCATCACTCTCCCAGCGAGTGATTGTATCCCATGTTAACTCTACCATTTGGGCCTCCAAGGAACCGTCCTCACGACACGCGTGCAAACGAAAACTTTTAATGCCTGAAGTAAAAAAATAAACAATAAGAATAAATATATACTACAGTGTGCTCTCTCTCTCTCTCTTTCTTGATAATCTGGTCAATTTATTGCAAGGATAGTTTAGATTGATGTTATGTTTATTTATACTAATAATGTAATAAATTACCATTTATATGTTAAATAGGTATTAAATCTTAGTTCAACATTAGACGTCTATGCCTACTCATCGACAATTAAGTAAATAACTTTGAACTGCCTTAACAAACCTCTTTGCTGACCATATAGGTGGTTCAAATAATGCCAAATAATAATTAGTATACTCTAATTAATTGTTGGACTACAAGTGCCAGACTTCAAGGTTTGATCCTGTTAAATTTGAAGCAAATGACTAGTGTGTCTATTACACGAACAAGTCAAAGCTGCACGAAATTTTCTCTGTTAAAAAATATTTTTTTCGCTATTTTTTTTAAGATGATGAGTATTTGGCAATAATTGAAACAGCTGTAGGGGCAGCTTTCAATTAATTCAATTAATCTATTGAATTAATTAAATATAAACATTTTGTTGTTGAGAGCGATTACAGTTTAAAATTGTTTTTTAAGAAATCAATTTCTTTATCATAATTGACCTTAAATTCAAGTTTAAAAGTGTTTTGTTCTCCAAAAAATGGAAATAACCTCTACATATATACTTAAAAACCAAAAAACGACAAAATTGACAACGCTCACAGGTTGTCAGTTTTTTTCTATGAATATGGTTATATTCTTATATATACGTACCAACTGCTGGAACAACATGTCCTTCTTTGCGACTATCACAGGAACAATGTGGAAACACAACGTCACCGTAACCGGGCAATATTCGCGCGAGTGCTAAATATTCAGAAGCCTTTTTACCGTCCTGTAATGCTTTCAGCTCATATAGACGACCTTCAGCGCGTATATTACCACGATTTACTTCATCGATTGCCTGAATTATAGAAAAGAAATTATAGAAAAGTGTATTAAAATTATAAAAAAACAAACACCGAACCTGATAAAATATGAACCTCGCCGCTTGTTCTCCATCTGGTAGCGAAAGTTCTTTATTTATCGAAAATAGCCAGCGGCGTACACACAAGCAGGTACTGGATGCGGTACTATAATTTTGTACGTATAATTGATGTGGCAATTCATGAGGTTGCAGCTTACGCTCAAAGTTGTACTCAACAATTTCAAAGAGGTAAAAATATTGCTGCGTATAGGAAGTGAAATTAGCGCGCTGCACCAAAATATCCCAAACCGTTTTAGCGTTTGAAGATTTCTTTACTGAAACCGTACAAATCTCGTGATCAGGTAGCATTACTTTTATATCAACCGGTGATGCAGACATGTCATCTTCTGAATCAGTTAGAAAATCCTGCACTGCATCGCTCTCTGCTATAACGCGTACTGCGCACACCTTTTCCAAGTACTGTTCTAAGCCGCGTCGTCGCGTGTCCAGTTGTTGTTCGCTTAACTGGAATGGCCATTTGCCAGGCAGTTTCGGGAAATTGAAGCCGACAAATTCTTTACGCAATATTGAGTGTAAATTTGAGAATTCACGATATCGACGAGAGCACAATTGACGTCCAGCCATGTGTATGTTAAAAACAATGTAGCGTTCGCCATTGCGATTAACAGTAGTGTAGTCGGGAATACTGGATAAAGATAAAGATAAAGATAAAAAAAAATTAAAAATTATTATGTACCAGAATACTAATATTACCTTATGGGTAATGAACGTTTGTCAGAATAATCAATATAGGAGTAGCCACTTTGATCTTCTTGAGGTTCCAGTCTTTCAGCTTCCTAATGGTAAACAGTGATACGTGTTATTCTTGAATTTATAATAAAATCATACAATTAATAATAAACATTTTCCGTACTTGTTGTGTTACTGATATAACAGTTAATACTAAACAGTCTCCACCTGATTTTATTAAATCCACAACTTGCTTATGGGTAGAACCTTCCACTCGAGTGCCATTTCTAAAAACAAAACGAAACATAAATAAGTAAAAAGCGAATACAGAGAATAAATTGAAAAATATTTTATACTAGTCAGCTTGAATGAAACTGTAAACAGACTTAATGCGAGATAAAAGGATATGGACGTGTAAAGGACACTATTGGACAAGAAGGAAGCGTTAAATTGCACACACTTGTGCTAATGAAGATGTATTCTGACAGACACATGAAGTGGGTGAAAAATTGGAATGCGGAAATGGAAACTTTAGCACAATAATGAGCAAATAAAATTCTGTCCTTCGTTTCCTCCGATTTTGCAATAAGTGTGTGTCAGGATACTAATGCCGGGATTTCACCAGTTTTGTTGACATTGATTCTGAGAGCAATTAAAACTCATTCGCACGAATTGATGACATGCAATTCATTGAATTTATTTAAAAAAAATATAAACATACATAAAAATACAAAATGGCTCATAATTATTAAAACATGATTAATTTTTCTTATGAAAATAAAATAAAATTTTATTTAAAATACAATTAACAATGCTTAATAGGTTAAGAAAGTCATTCGATTTATGGGACGAATAAAAAAATGAGTTTATACTTTGTTCTTACACCTTACACACACATAATTTTTTTGTCATAATGTTTCTTATGCGATGATTTAGACGTCGAATGTAATATAAACCATATATATTCTATATTAATATGGCATACGAATCATATTAGTCCAAGGATATATTTTAAAATCGTAAATGGTAAAAATTAGTGAACTAGTCGCTATGGAAATATATGTCAAAAATTGTTTTTATATATATCTGAGCAATTGGGACTTAAAAAATTTTTATTAACACTTTTGCAGAAAATGCCATGACGGAAGAAAGTGTAGACGATTGAGAATCCCACCTGAAACTGTCAACAACTGTAAACTCGTATAATTACACTAGGTTAAGAGTTTTTTATACTCTGAAGGAAGTCATTAAAATGAACGTAGCCCCCTTTTTGAGTATTATAAGGCTGTGTGGTTGAGTTGACGGAAAGTGGTGAAGGATCTCTTAATTCATATTCGGTACTATCACAAGGCTAATGACCATAAGGGGTATAACAAGAACCTGTCTCAGATCCCAATGGGTGTCTATAAGTAAGTGTGACTGATACACTTACATATTAAAATGTAATACTTCTTAATATATAACACAAGGGCCTAGTTTTAGTATGAGTATTTTGCATTACCGTGTTTGAGCCAGAAATGCATATGGTTCATATAATTCATATAGCCGACCACATAGTTGCATGGAACGAAGCTTTATAGCGACATAAGCTACAATTAATAGGTCTAATTAGCTATTAAATAAAAATTTAACGTCTGGGACGATAGTTTAATAAAACATCATTGAAAAGAACAAATGTTTTTATTTGTGTATAGGCGACCGCTTTTCCTTAACACAATTTTAAAAGGCAGAATTATCTGATTCGATAGAATGCCATCTTTAATTAAAAGTAAGCATGACTTTTTAATCCATTTTAGGTGATGCCTACCTTCACTGGACAACAAGTGAAATAAAGATCGTATGATTTAGCGATAAATAAATGAACAGTCATTATTGTTTGTAAAGCAATTTGGTTGAAACTTGGTGCTTGATATGTGAGTAATGTATATGTTGAATATATGTATGTTGAATAATTCGATTTAGATTTAGAATAAGTATAAACTTTTAAGGTCTTTTCGTCGAAAAAACTTTATTTTTTCGAAAAAAAGAACGTTTTCGAGCAATATGATTTTCGCGCATATAATATAAATTATATTATTTTCGCTTTCGAACATTTTGCGGACGGTCGTCATGCATGAGTACAAGCATATTTGATTATTAAAATGCTCGAACATATCCAATAATATTTGAACTCTTTTGTTATACTGTAAAAATATTTCTATCGTTAAAATTTTGGTATTCATATATTTTTAAATTGCATGTCAAAAATTTTTCAACATATGTCATCGTTTGCCTTTCCAAGTTCCACCATTTGAAGGCTTTTTGTTAAATTTAAAATTTTGTGCAACATCTATAAAACGGGATTATATTGTCGTTTAGTTTACAAGCGGTTCGGACTAAACCACTCTCTCATTCGTAGAGATCTTGTTCTACTCCAGGACAATTAGGGTCCCTATTTGTCATTTAAGACTTCCATCGAAGTGATCTGTGTCCAGGCTCCGCTACTGTGGCAGATGATTAATCTTGCAGTTCATATTGGTGTGCTACAGCTGCTTACTCCAGCTGGTTTCTGTCAGAGTCTAGTTTTTTCAACCTCAGAATGTGTGTTCCGGCTCTTACTCCAGAACCGAATTGGAATGTCATCAGATTGCTCTTTGTTTTAGATTAGTTTGAGTCCATATCTTTCTTCTTTTGCCTTAATACATTTCCAATGAATTGTGTGATTTTGTTCCAATTTTCTGCTCTTTCTGTTATTTTTTTTATGATATTCTCGACTCCGAAGTGACCTATATATTCTGCAAGTAATGTTCTTTCTCCATGCCATCTTTCGCTGTTGAAGAAAGTATGCTCAGCATTGTCCTGGACGTATCCGCAGTATATACAGCTGGACTGTTCTGTTTTTGCATTGACATAATAGTAAATCTCACCGAAATTCCTTTCGGTCTACGACTTTCAGAAACCATTAAAGAACAATGAAATCTCAAGAACAATGCTATGTACGCATATAGCGAAATGCAAAATGTTGCAAACGAACATAATGAAGTTAATCACAATTCATTGATAAATCAAAATCTTTCCGAGTCACTAAATTTTGTTTTTTTATAAAATAAAAAAATTAGTCTTTAACAAAAAATTAATATAAAATACCATATTATGCATAGATCAGTTCACACATTTCTAAAGCATTATTAATATTCAGATACCAATATTTAAATAGCATTAACATTCCATTATGTTGATATTTTATATAAATAATTTTATATAGTGTTTTTGGAGAAGTTTATTCACCTGAAGCACTTTCGTTCAAAATCGGTTACTGCACGCCCAGTTGTTAGAGCAGCAAATTGTACATAATTAAAAGGTAACATTGATTGAAGACACTAAAAACCGAGAATTCGAAAGGCTTGGCTTGAAGCAAATAAATTAAATTTTTTAAATAAATTTCATTAATTAAAATTTCACAAAACTGCAATGAAGCTCGTCTGAAGATCGACTAACTTCAACGTTTCATTGCAAATCAGAATCGAAATGTCTTCAGCATTTGCGAAGACGCTGTCGGTGTTGATGGAAATATCAACATTTAATTAAACAATTTGTAAACAAATAAGATTTTACAAAAATAAAAAAATCAAAAAATTAATGTCGCTCATCAATAATAAGAACAGATAACAAATTTATACACTGAGCAGCAAATATTTTATATAATATTTTTATATAATATACGGCAGATTCCCAAACATTATTACAAATACTGATAAAATATATATATTTCCAATAACTGATCTTTTTTTAGGTGTATTCTAATTTATAAAGGATCGTACTATTGATTATATTATTTGTACACACTGCATATTAAAAGTTCATATTTGAAAGAAGTTGCGAACTAAAGAAAAAAGCTACCTAAATAATCTTAACTTGAAATGAATTTATAGAGATGAGGTTTTCTATAATATAATCTATCCTATAACTTGAAAAAAGCATATACATATATTTTCCCTGATCTTCGATATGATAATATAATATGTGTATATTCCATGCAAAACTAGTAGAAATGTTCGGAAGAATGTCAGCAGTAGTAAGGTTGTAACAACTAATATGCGATATATACGCCGGAATCCGGCAAAGAAGTGTCAACCAAATTTGACCGGTAATGACCAGTTTTTGCATTTGTAAGTCCAAAAAAAGGAGCGTTAATAGTCGCGTGGGCGGTGAAGTCTCGGTTTAGGGACTCTAAAATGAAGCGGCACCGTCATTCATTAACATTTTTTTTATATGGGTCTCCATAGTAGATAGGAGGTGCAGTAGTAATTTTCCGCAGGGTGCTGGTGGTGCCAGTTTTAGATTACTACTGCCCGGAACCATTTTGACTAAAGTTGAGAAAGTTTCTTATCCTTTAATCAGAAAAAAGAGGAGAAACAGAGAAATACATACTACAGCAATCCACCAAAGCTATCCAATCAAAAATTGATCCACTTAAAGATCATTACAGAAATGCCGATAGAACCTTGTTGGTTAAATTATAACCTTACAAACGTAAAAATTTACACTATTGGAACTTGTCAGTTTTATAAGAAAGTAAATGCTTTAATATAATCTCTTAATTAACAGAGACATGCTTTAAGACCACAAAAATAAAAGAGATCGGAAAGATTTGTTTATAATTATGATCTACATGAGGGGAAAAACTTCGATGTTGATTAAAGACAACTTGAAAATAAATAAAAAATAGAAGCTTTAGAAATTAAAGTTGAAGTAATCACGATTGGATTTATTATATTATTAACATGTATACATTGTATACGCATTTAAATCTTTGGTTTTCATAGAGAATAGAATTTATATAAAATATTAGAAGTCTACAATTGAATATTGTTCTTTAAAAAGTTATTTCGCATTACAAAATTATAAACTTATAGTTAAAAAAAAAAGATTATAGTTAGTAAAATAGTTGGACATTTTCATATTGTCTACTACTGGTCAATTTAATTGATATAGATTTACAGATATAGACACAGTAAAATATCATTTTGGTTCAGAAGTGATTGCGGTGCAATTAGCAATTAAATGGATACCATTGATACTTGTTAAGTTATTTAATTATTTCGGATAATATATAATTTGTAGGGCCATAAATATAGTATAGTTCAAAAAAACTCTCAAGAATTCACATGACCAGGATGAAAAAGGTCATGTTTTGGTCAATTCAACAAATCTCCACATATTCTGCTTATTTAAGCAGAATCGGAATATACATTTCCTGTTTATATATACGTAGTGGTAGTAATTGCATGAATTTTTTGAGTTGCTG